CAGACTTGAAGTTATGGATTCTGAGATGCCTCCACTCATATGTAGCATTTGGTAATAACACCGTTCTCTGGTGATCATATCTATATTTTAACTCTGTCAAAAGTCTACAGGGTTCTCAATAGTTATATACTGATCTTTGAGACCCTCAGTAATATGATGGTGAATAGTCATTATTGCCATGTATTTCTCTCTTTCAGTAGTATTATTGCCCTCGATGATACATTCACCAAGTCCTTTTAATCTCAGGACAATCTTAGTGTCCAATGCCCATTGTAAATAATTATCTCCAGAGAGATTTAGGGCAGCATAATCCAGTTTGCTGATTTTCGACATCTGAAATATATATTTTATGCTTTTAGAAAATTTTAAAGATTTATTTTTTGATCAAGCAATGACTCATGGATCAGACAGCAATATTCCTAACAAGTGATAAGATCATGTTGTTATAATGCAAACGAGTCAAGATATGATGCAATCAGTTCATATGAGTATGATGCAAAACAATTACTACATGTTCATGCGGTCAGTACTGATATGATGAAAACCTAGTATACGAATTCTAAACATGTAGACCACAATCAAAATATCAACTCTGATCATATGAACAAATCAAGCTAGTAACCTATCCATGATCAATGCTTTAATAAAACAAGCTGGTCGAATTAATCAAGTCTTAGATTATATGAGAATAATAAATCTAGCAGGATGATTTCAATTACTCTTAGCAGGATGAGAACAATTGATCTAGCAATTCTAGCAGTCGGATTTATCAATCAATCTAGAAACTTAGCATCGGGTTATGAGATCAGATTCAATCAAATTCAAGTTCAATTATGAGTCTATCAATCCTATGTGATTATAAACATTTGTTTTCAGAACATATTCAATCAAACAATTACAATCAATCACATAGTCTCAATTCACAAGATGAACAATCATATTAATTAATTTAAACAGTTTCAGACATTAGGGTTTAATCAATTTATCAATCGATCAATTCAAATTTCAAGTCTAATCAGCTTAAACAATTCAATTAACTCAATCAAACAATCAATTTCAAAATAAAATTAGGGTTTCAATAACGGTTCATGCATAACATGCAATTAGGGTTCTTAATAATATTTAAGCTTTATATGTGATTTGATAATTATATCTGATACTTTTAATAGTTAGGGTTTATATATAATTAGGGTTTTATAACATATGATTCGATTTTAATCATGTAAGAACATGATTAGGTTTTATCAGATTTTAATCATGAAAAAACAATTTTGGGGGTTTGAAGTTTTAGGGTTTTGATTGTTACCTTAAACTTCTAATGGGGTGAATGGACCAACGAGATAATTAATCGAGCAGGAACAGGCCGCAACGAGAGCTTCTTGGTATCGGGTCGCGAACACAGATCGGGACGGTCGAGCGTGCTATCGGATTGTCGGATGGATTGTCTGGTTGATTGCTTCTGCGGCTTAGAAACATTGATGGTATAAAGATTTAGGGTTTAGTGGTCGAAGTTTCAAAATGAGAAAGAGAAAAGAAAATTATGGTTTCAGATCGAAGTTTTTAGCTTAGGATTTCCTAGAACTATCGTGCTGATAACGTGTTGTGAATCAGAGAATAAAAGAGAGGAATTCCATGTGTTTGTTGCATAAATAGAAGGTACCATTATATAAGGAATTACAAATTCATAGAAGAAAAAAAAACTAACATTAAGTAGGAAAATGAAAAAACCTAAACAAACAAGGAATATGAAATAGTACAAATCCTAGGAAAACACGAGATCCTAATCCATTTGGATTAGGAATACTTGGCCGACTATAAGACTTAATAGATGGGCGGGTTATGACAATCCACAATATAGTTTACAACAACATAGACTTTTAAGATATATTACTAGGGATTAATCCGCGCTACGCGCGGACCTATTTAATTTTCAAATGTTAACTATTTTATTTTTGAAACACAACTTGCATTAATTCATAAACTCAAAGGTAGGTGTTGATAGATGTTGTATATTTACCAGCCTTGCATTATTATTTATTTCAGAATACAAAATGTATTCACATATTTACTTATTATTTATTTTACTATACATTTTTCAGATATATTTTTAATTTAGTTTTCTATTTTTATATTGTATATTTAATTATTCTTTATTTTTTTATTGTATATTTACTTATTCTAATATTGCGATAGATGTTTAATATTGATTATTTATTTTACCATAAATTTTTCAAATAGGTGTTAATTTTAATTTTTACATTTATTATTGTATGCTTACTTATTTTTTTTGTATATTGTATAATTACTTACTCTGTTTTCTTGTTTTTACATCAAATAATAATATTGCGACAGA